TATATAACTGTTAAACGTAAAAAGAAACGGAAAACTAGGAACATGTTTTTGGCATATTGTGTATGGAAGTTATGAGTGGGTCAATGTACTGTGTTTCTAGAACGGTACACTGCAGCATTGTACAGAAAATAAAACAGGCGACAAGTAGTTCTAAAGTTCTGAAAGCTTTTCGGACCCTTGAATCTTAGACTTCTAAAATGAATCAATGTCTCGATTTTTTCCGGTATTAAGGGACAAGTTTCATCAAGAGACTTATCTTCCGAATAAAATTCCACTCACTACCTTGACAATTTAAGTAAACAGGTGCGGGTTACATGCATACAACTAGAATTCCGAAAACACTGATGCGCATTTACAAACAGTAGTTTCCTTCCAACAATTTCCGTTATTGCGTGTGTCATCGGATTGGAAAAACATGTAGTATCTGCTGGTCGAACCAGCAGCATCTAGCTGTTTTTGGTAATCCTTAACCAATTCTTCACTAAATAAATATAACGTAATACCGCTTGGTTCTGTTAGTTATTTTTTGCGGCTTCAAGCGAATGGCAAATATTTTTTTCGATCCCAGATTATTTTAAGACTGAATGAGTTTGTTAACTAACAGGTTTTATAACTGCGTGTCGAAAAGTTCGTGCTTGGGAAATGTACATCTATGACCCACATTGACCGCGTCGGAATATAGCTTGCTACCAGCTAAATATTTTAGCTCTTTTTAAAGTGTCTGAAATAGTTACATTCTATATTACATTTTAATCATAGCTTTAGAAGGTTCCTAGTTTAATTAAATCTAAACAAAGAAAAATTAGAAATTAAGCCTTTTCTTCTTTAGCAGTAACACCAAATTATTATTAATATAGCTCGCGAAGACATTTAAACATGGCCTCTCCTTGCCTACGTCTACAAACTAGAGCATTATATTGTTATTACAATTTCTACTAAGGCACTTATTATATCGGAAGACAAGGGATAATGTTATTACAATCGAGATGAGTAAGTACGAAACCTAGCCAACGTTAAAATTAGAATGAAATATAGAATAGTGAAGCTTGAAGTAATTGCATGATCTCTATATCTATTAGACGAACAGAGCGGTAGCATTAGCAATCCTATTACCTATAGTTATATAATAAGACATACTTTTTTCACTGCAAGATGTCTCTTTCTTCACAAATATATGACTTTGTTTCGTTTTATCTAGAAAATTTATGTGTACATTCATTTTGAATACACGAATGTGGTACCTATCCGAGTGTTTTCTAACAACCCTTTCAATTAATTTTACGGTTTTCCCTGTTTCTGATACTGGATCGGAACCTGTAATACTGCCTAGACTCCAAAGAGGATTTTTATATTATCTTATGCAAGTTGAAGGGTGCGCTGTTACTTACTTGCGCTTTTTTCTTCCTTATTGTTCTTAATAATTGATATCCTCGAGACATAATGATCTAATATTGTCGTTCAGATTTTCTTATTTTAAAGCATCCATTTCACTATAATGAGTACTATATAACACCTTAGTTTTTCCAAATTTCTACTCTTTTTTCTCGAGAAGCAGATATCTTACATGACAGCTTTCACCTATGTCATAGGTAATCCGCATGTTTCAGGTCGCCTGCTTTGTGTGCGTCACCACGGTAACCAAGGACATGCGGCCATCACCGGTTCAAATTTCAGTGTTGGTAAATTATTACCATGGCATTGCCTAGCACGTCGCCATAGGTTCGTTGGAAAAACCCCAGCAAAATCCAGCAAGACCCACCGCTTGCTGAACCTTTTATTGAAGGTACGTGCTTGGTTCTGTCCTCGTGATAGCTTCGTGGGTAACGTACTTACATGATAATCTTAGGGACGCCTTGTGGTGCAGGTTCGAAGCCAGGCATAGACAGACTTCGTGTCATGCAGGGAACCATCGTAACGGCGATACCGGTACTCGAAACATAGAGATTTTCGATGATACACGAAAGAGGTGATTCCGGGGAGTCGTTGACCAAGTAAAGAAATTCTAAGGCAAGAATAAACATTTCGGATGATGCTTGTCGACTTTACTTACACCTTCTCGATTCTGACGCTTACAAATTATCAATGGCTATATTTGAGTATGGCAGCCAGTGCCTCGTTCGGGAATCCGAAATTATCCACGAGTCAAGGGGATTCTGCGCCTTTGTCGATATCCGTCTAAAGCTGCAGCCATTCCAAGAATACAGCAAGTATATTCATCATGTCTGCTTTGTTAGCATCAAAATAGCATTATTAAAATAAGTAATTTCCGTTATGTCCATTAACCTAAACGCTTATTTAGGTTAGCAAAACATTTTACAAGCTTATGATTCATAATATAGTAACGTACATTTTCTTTCATATAAGCTGGTATACTACTGGAGTTCAAAATGTATGTAGTTGTTAGGCCCGGATGTGAGATGCAGGGACAGTAAGTGCTCAACACCCACAAGAAATAAGCAAAAAAGAAATAAGAAATAAGAAAAAGTCGTAGATACCAGGCATTCCTTGAATTTTTGCGGAAAAAATCGTTGCAACCTGTGGATCAATTATCTTTTTGCCAGTGAACGAGGGACGTCGCAACTCTGGCAACTCCGGCATAGCACATAACTGAACAAAATAGGCTAATTTTAGTCATCATGTGCAGGGGTAACAGATGGAAGTATATGAGAAGGTTGCACTATGTGGTGTCTCATGGGCCCACCAATGCACATTATGCGAGTTAGATATGACATTTACAGTGAAGGTAAAAGGAATAAGTGAATATAGTTGGGCTATGTTTTAATTTAGAAATCAACGACAGAACTCTACACACAGCGAATAATTATTCATACTTATAACCAGACAACAGTATGAAGTACACTTTTTTTGGTCGAGCACTTTAAAACGGAGTAAGTACGATCTGTGAGTCGCAGTTACACTAACAGTAGCTGTCGTTTCTTTGACACTAACGGTGGAGTTGCTGATTACCTCCGTGAAAATTTAAACCACCACGTGTGCTAACATTGTAATTTCTGAACGACCAAAATCAAGTCCATTGCAAAATGAGGCAGTCTTACAAGGTTGGCGATGTATACACCATATGTATATAAGTAGCTATATAGAGCACACGATAATGGGGCAACCGTGTACTGAAAAAAAAAAAACTGTTATGTAGCAAATACATTGCACTCCAAGTGCATATTAGTTGTTTCAGCACCTGTGAACAACATTCGACCCTAATGTTAAGGGGCCATCTGCTTTTCGAATGTCTGCGAGATGTTAATGTTTCTTAGCATCTGCAGTTATTTCTCTTATAGAAGTTATACCTCGGAATTAAATCTATTTAGGTATGGCACTGACGAGTTCAACCCTTATCAGGAGTTCAATCATAGTCGGCTTTATTGGTCCTATTTGGGGTTTTACATGGGCTTATGAAACGATATGGTTACCTTACAAGCAACTATTAATCATAGTATATCGTTCTGAAGACGAAGTATGTTGTTGTATTGTAAAACATAAGCATGTTTTCATGTTTTGAACGAACGTTTTCCTAAAACTCAACAAAAGAGAAAAATTATGTTATTCAGTAACACTGGCCATAGAAATGTTAAAAGAAAATGAGCGTTTTACTAGGTATCATTTATTTTTACTTTATTGCTTTCATGATACCCAACAAAACTGCAGAATTTTTTCTACTCTTGCATATCGCAGTTTACCAATCTAAAGAGCAGCTATAGTGTAATATACAGCTGTAAAAATCGCATATATTCCCTGAATTTTTCAAGGAAGATACGCGATTATTTTTCAGGGAAAATCAATAATGTACTACGTTAATATATAAACTTCAACCTTTAATAAAGTCGTTGATTAAGATTTATCCGAAAAAACAATCAGTTCTTGAATTTTCTACCCGTTAATTGTATACGTTAAGCAGATATTGTAGGTTGTGCGTAAACACGATATTGTTTTGAAAACTTAATAAAATAGAAATATATTGAGAATCAATTGCAATCTGCATGTAGCTATATGACAAGCCGAATTACCATTTCATAAAGCGGTAAAAAATGTTTATAACATTAGAACACAGAAAGCGTCATTTAGATATACTTGGCTGATTACGGAATTAAAAAATACGCTAGATTTTATGTGTAGTAAGTGACACTTGAACCAGCCACCCCTTAGCCTCTTTTAATTGGGGATTCTATCATTTAAGCCTCTGTTGTTCTCAACGACTGAAAAACTACTATAGCGATCTTGTCGGAATTCTTCTATTAAATAAGGTCGATAAGTAATTAACACATGTTTGTGCCAAAAAGAGATATGCTACATTTTGTGTAAAAAAAAATCGGACCTGATTGTTTTAAAAAGTGCTCTTGCGTACGAACGATGCCATAAAACTTGGGGAGATCCCTATAAAACTAAATTTGTGTCATCTTGAATTCTTGTATCTCTATCAGTAATTTCAGCTTTAAATATATAATTTTTAAGAATGTTTACATTAACTGTGAACATCTCGAAAACTGAGAAACTTCTTTAAAGAAAAGTTTTAACGGTATGAAAATACGTGTCCCCAAGTCTAGTTTTATCTCCTTAGTGCACAGCAGAGTCCCTGGAAAGAATTGCTAGTGACCCTAAGCCATAGCCCGCGTAGACATCACAGAGCTTATTTATTAAAAACACAGAAACTGCCTAAATCGTTTAACCTTAGGGTGCAATGCGGCTAACTGGGGGTCAAGGCCTACTTAGTTCAACAGATGCGCCGCGCATGTGTAACTCGCCCGCGGGCGTACGTCAGTCGTGACGCAAAGGTGAGACGGGACAGGAATTTTGATATAGCCTTGCTGATTGTCTTCCTGCTTTCGGGCATTAATAGATGCGGTTATCTCTGATCGCGCCCCAAAAAACAATCATCGT